CACTGGGGGACGTGCCAATTTTCACAGGCTGATTGTGGTGTAAATTTCCAATTCTGGGATCATTTTGTGGCAGCCCCGCCCCTCAGCATAGATTGGCAGAGAGGCCCTGGGGGGCACGAGGGATGAGGGGGTGGCCACCATCTTGATTGCTGGCTGCCCATCGTGGGGCCCTGCCCCTCAGTGCTCCTTGACAGAGAGGCCCCAAGGGAAGAAGAGACAAGGGGGCAGCTGCCATCTTGTCTGCAGCCCTTCATGCTGCCCAGCTAGCTGGAGCCTTCCCTTCCCAGCAGTGAGGACCACCGGCGCCAGCATTTTATTTTTATTAAGTTTTTCTCTGTTGTTGATTTCATGGACAATCCCAGATTTCACTGTTTCTGCAAAACTATGAATTAAGTAGGTCCCTATTGATAAATCAGGATGGCCCATTGACATTTGACAACCATAAACTTAACAAACCTTGCCAATTCTTCTGTAGTAGACAAAATAGCATGAAGTTCACTCCCCTAGAGCTGTGCTTGCTCTGCAAATGCCAATAGGCATCAAAGAAACCAATCAACAGCCACTTGTGGCACTTTAGGCAGCAGATCTGACTCAAACAGATGGAATAAACCTGTGAGATTATCAGAATTTATTCTTCCATTGGCACTCTCCTAATCTCACCTGCACTCCGGGCTCTTTGTTTGCTTCATTTCAGAGCATGAAGGAGAACTGTTATCAAATCAGAGTGTGTAGGAGTCCCTGTCAGCACTACTGGGCAGTACAGAGTTTTTCTGCTTTAGCCACTGCCCCGAGGTCAGGATCCCTGATGTTCCAAATTCTTGCATTGCAGGAGATTTCAAGGCATGTGCGGGAGCTGCTGGGGATTACAGAGCCCCTCTGGAGCAGAAGCATTGCCCTCCCCTACAGGGACAACATGGGCTTGTTTCTAGAACGCAAAGCCCCAACTGGCAAGACAGCAGATGCCCTCACCTTCTCCCAGTTTGTCCGTGAAGCAGGACTGAAACCATATGCTATAACTGCATCTTTGCAAAAAGCCAAAACTGATGTGAACGCAGACAATCTCACCATTTCCCCGTGCATCCAAGAAGCAGAAACAGAGCCACATGCTATAATTCCTCCCTCAAAAACAGATCAAGCTACTGGACAAACCGATTCTTTTGCTGTGTCTCTGGCTGTCCAATCTTCTTCATATTAAAGAAAAGGTGCTTTACTACTCTTGTTTAGTGTGCACACTGTGCTCAGCCATGTGTAGTCTCTTCCCTGAAGAGCTTGCACATAAACACTTGCTCCTAGAGAAACGCCTTTGGGACACTGCCAGGCACCGAACTCATCCTCAGTTCAGTGTTGTGATTCTAAAACTCCCCCACTCCCCTCCACATGTACTTGAAAGAGTTACAAATGGCACAGTTGGTGCAAGCAGCACTGAACAGTAAGGGAGCTGAGGGCTGGAAGTCAAGAATATTATAACTGAGACTGAAGAGAGACTGTTAGGAGTGAGAACTGATTTGATGGACTGAGCAGGATACTAGGGCATCACCCTTGTTTGGGAGAAAAGCATTGGGCAATCTTTTATGTTAGTGAGCCTTGTAATGTCAATCACAGTCTTACAAGTAGCACCTTCTGCACCAAAGTACTACACTGCATGTTGGTTTAGTCTTGATCCAAAGGAAAAAATACTCCTAACCGAATCATCAGCAGGGGTTTCTTTGAGAAACAGTCCCACACTCCCCTTCCCCCTCTCCACCCAACCCGCCGCCCCCCCGCCAAATAATGAACAACCTAATCCCACTTAATTTGAGAGATCCGATTAGATTAAAATCCATGTGGGTTGGGACTGCACCCATTAAAAGATCCTAAACTGCTTCCACAGAGAAAAGGCCAGCAGTTTAATTGAACTGAGGGATTAGGACAAGATGACATTTCAGTATTGGTTTACTACTCAAGTTGTCAACTGGGGGTATTTGAGAAGGCCCTAGGGGTTATGTGCAGGCGGGTGGGGATGGAGCACCACTGTGCACTATCCTGCACTGCTGCACAGGCGCTGCCCGCCCAGCTGGATGCAGGGAGTGAGGAAACTTGCACACCGCAGCTGCCGACACTCCACGTTCAGCTGCATGCTGCCACCCCTCCCTCCCGTGCTCCACCACCGGGGTACACTGCTTCATGTCCAGCCACCAGGGGTACACTGATCCAAAAAGGTTGAACCCCCTGGTTTATTAGACAACCAAGAGGTGTCAGGAACTCTCAGATGCAAACTCTTATTTTGTACTGAGGTCGCTAATCCACAGCGTTAGATTCTAAGCCGGGGTGTCCAACCTTTTTCAATGTGGGGCCGGATCACAAACTTTTTATAACCCAGTGGGCCCACGAGCCATATTCAAAGACCTCACAGGAAGTGGTATCACATCAGGAAGTGATGTCACGTGATCTTTGACACCAATGAAGTTGCAAGAAGTGACAATGAAATGGGGCTAACCAGGTCAAAACTCTCCGTCTGCAGTATCCACCTCTGCCACTGTTCGGGACAGGATACTGAGCTAGGTGAACCATGCGGTGGACCAAGCATAGCACTTTTTATGCTCTTATGTTCTTTGGCTGAGCTTCCAAACTATGGCTGAGATTTGTAAAAAGGGGTAGATAGGCATGTTACAAAGTTGTTATAAAAGATTTGGAGCCCTCTAAATCCCATTCATTTTAATGGAAGTTGGCCTTTGGACTCAGCTTTGAAAATCTCAGCCCAAGGTGCCAACCAAATAAGTCAAAATATAGTTTGCATTTCTATGCAGTGCATCTATGTGGGGCTCTCCAAGCATTTTACAAACATGAAACGAACCTCAGGATGAGCCCAGCCGGAGCAGCAGGGGCTCAGCTGCACTTTCCCCCTACCTGCGCTGCTCAGTCCCGAGCAGCACACGGCTCCGCCGCCACTTCTGCTGGCTGGTGCCGACCCGGGCAGGTCTGTCCCATCCGGAGCAGCATGCGGCTGAAGCCGGATTCCCACGTGCTGCTGGGGACAGAAGGAGCCCAGCTGAGTCGGCACCAGCCAGCAGAATTGGCGGCGGAGCCATGTGCTGCTCAGGACAAGACGGGCCTGGCCGGAGTGGCAGGGGCTCGGCTGCACTTTCCCCTGCCTGCGCCCATCAGTCCCGAGCGGCGCACGGCTCGGCCGCCGCTTCTGCGGGTCGGTGCAGACCCAGCCAGGCTCCTCCTGTCCCCAGCAGCACGTGGGAATCCGGCTTCAGCTACG